TTCACTTCTCTCTCTCTCTCTCTCTCTCCCTGATTTCTCTCTTTCTGGTCTCTCTCTCTCTCACACACAGACACACACACGGTTGGCGAATAATAATAATGTAAATGATGCATGAGAGTAATACTATTGAATGTGGGGAATAGATAAGGTTAGTGCACGTGATGTATATGGAATTTTAGGGCACAAAAAGACCCTACATTAATTATCATCTACTATCATATATATATATATATATATATATATATATTTATAGGCAGATATTGAAATACTACTACTATAAATACTTGTGACAGTTTGTTGTAAGAAAATTCAAAAAAATCTTCAAGTAGCTAGCCAGCCGGTTCTCTTACATTATATATACATACACATTAATTAATACTCTTATTACATATATATAATAAAAAAAAGAAAAAAAAAATGGGGAAGATGATGATGGGATTAAGCAAGTTGAAAAGAATGGGGAGACAAATGAGAGGAAAGCTCTGCATCATCAAAATTTGCATTACCATGCTTCTCTGCTGGGACGACAACGTCTATTCTTAATTTTAATTATCATTAATTATTAATAAGGTTTCTTTTTCTTTTTTTTTTTTTTTTTTAAGTAGCTAGCTAGCCCTACAAGAAAATAGCTCATATATTTGTAGCTAGTTTTTAGATGCTTGGCTTGGCTAGGCTGGTATATGTACATATGTAGTTACATTATATATGTAATTTGTGACATATTTAGTGAAATTTAATAATATAATTAACATATGATATATAATGACACTTTTTTGGGATTTTTGTATGTATTGTCTCTTCTCTATGTATACCTTGCAAAATATTAATTGCAAAATCGAAAAGAAATTTAAACAAATGGAAAGGCGTATTTCGGACATAATATGCAACTCGAAAATTCGGGTACAATTAGTAGCAGAAGCAAATAAATGAGAAAGATGGTCTTTATTAAACACTAAAAGTGACCTTGAGATCATCATGAGTTGCTAATTAAGTTTAATTGTTTAATTAAGCTATTTAATTTGGTTTCTTGCTTCTAACTTAATTTAAAAACATAAAAATTCAAAACTATACTACCTGAAGCTCACTCATGTCTTCCATAAATATAACTCTCTCTCTCTCTCTCTCTCTCTCTCTCTCTCTCTCTCTCTCTCCATGGAAATAAGTTTAATTTGTTTGTTTGCATATAAATAAAAATTTCCCAGTTCAGCAGAGCTTCCAGAACAAACAAATGAGAGCTCGCTTGGCAGTGGAAACAAAACAAAGGGTCCATCTTGGCTTCAAATATGTCCCCCAATCACAGACAGACACCTGTCCAACCAACCCCACTACCCCTGTCTCAACCACACATATATATACTACACCATGCATATCTGTATATATACACAACACACACACACACACTATAGCTTACATATTATTCATTAGTTATTACAAGCATTTTGTCACAGTTGATCATCATATCTTTTTTCTTATATTTTTCCCAGAAACATATATATATACATACATAGATGATGATGGAGTCGATCGGGGTGGCGGCGGAGAAGAGGCGGGGATGGGAGAAGTGTTGGAGGTATATTCAAGAGCAACGGACGCGTATTAACATTGTGTGGAGATGCTCTGTTACTCTTTTAACATGGAAAATGGATCAAGGCGGCGGCGATCAGCTTTCATGATTAATCATCTGATTATTATATATGACGATGATCACAAAATCAAGATTTTTTTTGTTTTCTTTCTTTTGAAACTGCATATAATTGTGGGAAATGAGAACTGGAGAGAAGGAGATATGTATTCATGATATGTAATTGTATTGATTAATGAGGAGATTATTTGTGTAGAGGAAAACTAATTATATATGTATACTCTCTTCTCGAGTTTCTGAGATTGCAACTGTATTAATTATGTATGAATTATATTAATTTCTCTATTGAAAAAATGTTCTAATATTTTCCATCTTTTTATTTTTTTATTATGTTTATATTGAATCTGATACAGTGTTGCCCAATTAACTTTGGGCCAGGCCCAACTGCGGTCTCAATTAATGGAGGATCCACCAACTCGATTTTTTCTTTTTTTTAATTTCTTTTACAAGATAATATTTAAAGATACATCATTGAAATCTAGAAAACTTTGAAAATTTTATTGTCAAAATTTGCATCGCCGGACGGCCGTCCGAGTTTTTAGGTCATTTTTCCGACAGTCGTTTGAAGTTATTTTGGTGCACTTCGGCAGGTTTTTCCGTTAATATACATTTTTGCTCCATTTTTTACTATGTTAGAGTTTGAATTTTGAAAAGTTTCATGAGGTAAGAGTTGAAGAGCTTTGAGATATCTTTCCATTGTTGTTGAAAGCAGATGATTTGGAGTCCGGATGAGAGATATATGCTCGAAATTATGGACATTATCAAAGCTGTTGCGGGATTCCTTTTCAATTCGGTTTTATTTCCTTAATTGCATTTTTTTCATTTATTTTCGATCATTTTTCTTTCATGGACACCGAAGTCTCGATTTGCACCTATAAAATACAAAATCTATCGATTAAAGCACAATTATAATAAATTAATTAATCTAAACAAAAGTTCACTTAAAGTAAACGTATAGAGCGTAATTTCTACACGCAACATCAATGAATAACGATTCAGATCGAAACGACACGTATGCAGTTTAAAATCGAGTGTAGCATCAACTAGACACTATACATTATTTATTGTACAATCTCAATATTCAATTTATCATTTATATCACTCTCTTTTTATTCAATCTATCATTTAATCACTCTCTCAACATCACTTTTACATTAATTATGCATATGATGAGGAAATTAAATCACACTTTAATTATTTTCCTGCAACATTTGTATATATGTATCTATCTATGTAAGTATATATGCCTGATCAACAGTGACAGGTTGTGAGTGTGCATCTTCTTCTTCATCTTCACTTATGAGGAAACGTGCCAAAATCCTCGTACTTGGCCCCACCACCATCTTCTCCCATGCTTCCACTGCTTCGCCACCGCGGTTAAGAAATACTCCGGTGGCGTCCAGGCGGTGCATCCGCCGCCCCGCCAGCTTCTCCCTCAGCCTCCAAATCTTCCCCAGCTGGCGGCGGGTTAGTTTGCATGTATTTTCCTTTATTTCAACAATAGCCGCCTCCAGAAGATCAGCTCCGGCGGCTTCGCCGCCGACGAATGGCCCGTTCTTGAAAAACTCGTGCAGCTCCGGCACCCCGATGGCGCGTCTGATCCCGCGGCTGTAGTCGCCGCTGGGGTTGAAGAACTCCGCCGCCTCCTCCACCAGGCCGCCGGCCACCATCCGATCGACCCTCTCCGAGACGACGGAGTGCAGTACCGGCGCCGACACGTAAACCCAGAGGAAGCAGCACTCGTACCTCGACCGGAATTGGCGGTCGGCGACGGTGAGCGCCTCCACTAAGGAGTTCGACCCTCCGGCGATGATGGGCAGGCGGCCCCTCCCGGATATTTCCTCCGCCGCCATCGACGAACGGCGGACGAACTCCGCCGCCGTGAATGCCGCGTCGGGGTCGTCGACGATCCCGAGCAGGTGGTGGGGGACGCCGCGGCGGTCGGCGGCGGTGGACTTGTTCGTTGCCACGTCGAGGCCTTTGTAGACCTGCATTTTGTCTGAGTTGATAACCTCACCGTAGAAACGGGTGGCCAAGTCGACGGAGAGGCGGGATTTTCCGGTGCCGGTGGCGCCCATCACCACCACCACCTTCTCCTGGCGGCGGCGCTGCTGAGGAACGATCAGATTCCATGCAGAAAACGCCGCCATATTAATAAATATTTATTATATTATTTTAAATTTAATATATATATGTATATATAACAATAGATATATATATTAATTTCTCTATACAGATCAAAATAAACACATATACATACTATATATTTTTCTTCTTACCAAAGAAAATAGTTACATAAATTATAACAGTGTTGGTCAAACCTATATTTTTATTAAATTAAATACATATACACACACATACCATATATTTAATAAAATTTATCATTTGCAAATTTACTTACCATAAAAATTGGATTATATTCAATAAATCTTATATATGGGCAACTCTAAAGAACTCTAATGGTATTTCTGTAATTATTTATTTTTAATATTTTTTCTCTACTAATTTCTAACTATAATTTTTAACAATTATCAATCTCCAATTTTTCATCAATATATCTAAAATCTTAAAAGATAAAGATAGAAATACGATTTTTTAAATCTTAATATATATATTTGATTATAAATCTTAATATGTAATATTTAAGAAAACCAATGTTATATAAAAAAATAAATAATACTACATTATTAAATTTTACTATATTAGTTTACGATATTTTCTTATTGTGTATTAAGTTGATTATTTTTTTCACTTTTGAAATAATATCGGGAAAAAATGCTAGTAATTATTAATGGTAATTGAAATAATTAAATAAAATCTGCACCTAATTTACTTAGGATGAAACCTTCATCATGTTCACGATTTCAATTTTCAACTATTAAAATAAAAATAAAAACATATATACATATATTAATAATTAATGAATAAATAGCAATTGGAGTAAAGAATTATAATGGGCTAATATTTTCTAATTGGGCTCAGTCGAAAATAATGTTATTGGGTTCCTATTATTATTTGACTCACATTCAGCCCAAATGGTATAACAATTCAATTCATATTTATTTGTATAATTATATCATAATATAATAATATAATCATATATTATTCGATTTAATTTATCTGATGTTAATTTGGTTTGAAACATAACAGAAAAAAAATTCATATCATAGTTATTAATATTTTTTAAATATATTCGCCACTAGCAAAATTCTATTAATTTAGTAAAATATTAAAAATATCAAATTAAAAAAGTAGTACTTTTTACCGAGTCGGAGACGGAATAAATTATTATTATGTATGAACAATCTTGCAAGTATATATATACATAGATTTTATTTATTAATTGAAAAAATATATTTATTTATTTAATTAAAGATTGCCACTGTCTTTAGTCCAAAAGAAATAAATAAAATAAAATTGACAGCCCAATAATTCAAAAAGAGAAATCGAAGTGCTGATTACTTATTTCTCTACTGAAAAAAAAAATGGAATTCTTTTTTGAATTTCAATGGAAAAATCTGACATGAATCTCTCCGCACCATCTTCGCTCTCCGCGCCGTCGTCGCAGACGGCGTCTTCCGGCACCTCTTGGTTTTCCGGCATTGTTCGCGGCCGCTCCGCCTCCGCCAAGATGTCCACCAACTCCTCCTCCACCGCCGCCGCCGCCTCCGGCGGCGACGGCGCCGAAGGTGGCAGTGGACCCATTAACAAGAAGCATCAATTCCGTGGGGTGATGTTTAAGTATGGCCCGAAACCGATTCAGGTGAGGGAAAAGAAGACTTTTCAATTGTGAGTACACAGAGTTGAATTGCGTATTGAATTCAAGATCTGGCTTGTGTGTGTATTTTGATTTTTTACTTGGATTTATTTTTTGTTGTTCAAGTACTGAATCAGAGATCATGATTTTCAATTAGGGTTGGGTTGAGTTTTGAAATGGGGAGTAAATATTTGAACAGAGATCAGCATTTTGTGATGGCATTGTTTTACTTAATTGATTATTTGTTAATTTTAGTATTCGCAACCGATCGAACTCCAATTTTTCAGTTAGTATTGTCGAAGAACCTGAATATTGAGTATTGATTGCTTTAACTTTCATTTTAGATTGATAATCGGAACATGTTCTAGATATTCGGCCTACGTTTAGTGACGAGCTATGTCTTGTACATTGTACTTAAAAGACGATGAATAGAAAACGAAGAAGTATGATAGGTTTCGATGTTGCATTGAAGATTTGAAATCAAACTCGTACTATTTCTCAACGAAGATAAATCAGTTTCGACTTCATTTAATTTAATTTTATTTAATTATGAATTGATAGGTTTTAGCATATATATTTTTCAACGAAGAAATCCGTTTCTACTTCTTTAACACTTCAAATGATATGTATTACTATTTGATGTTTTTGAATATCACATGAATTTGTTGTAGTTATCGACTTGAGTTCTTTTCGTCGAACTTCGTAAACGATATAAGTTAGATTTTATCGTTTTTTTTTTGTCTTTTTTCTAAATTAATCTTCTGTTTGTTGTTCGTCTTGTCTTAATTCTTCCGGTACAGGTGGCATTTAAAACAGGTGATTACAGACAGCAAGTTATCTTCATCGGTGGGCTGACAGATGGATTTTTGGCAACCGAGTATGTCGTTAAACGCTCCAATTCAAATACTTGTGTATTAATTTCATTTTTTTTTTTTATTTCGTCATAACATAAATAACTACGAACTTCCGCAGATATTTAGAGCCGTTAGCAAATGCTTTAGAGAAAGAGCGTTGGTCACTAGTTCAATTTCTTTTCTCGTCTTCGTACAGTGGATATGGCCTCTCAAGCTTGAAACAAGTAAATTAAATAATTCTACGATAAATTTTTTTCATTACTTATTTTATTTGCTAAAATAAATAAATAATTATCACACTGTCTTACGAAGGATGCGATCGAGCTCGATCAATTGATAAGTTACTTAATAAACAAGGAAGAATCCGAAGGTGTGGTTTTACTTGGACACAGTACTGGCTGCCAGGTAATACTCGATTCTCTTTTCGGCTCAACTATTAAGAAATGATTTGATACATAGCTAATTTAATTTTAATTCAATGTAGGATATTGTGTATTACTTGCGTACAAATGCAGCTTGCTCGAGAGCCGTTCGTGCAGCTATTTTGCAGGTAATTTTCCATGCACGTTACACGATAAATTTCTCAAAGAATTCCATCACACAAATTACACACACACACACACACGCTTATATATATTTATAGATTTGAATTTATTATGATAATATTCAGGCTCCAGTGAGTGACCGTGAATTTAAAGCAACGCTAGCTGAAACTCCTTCGATGATTGATTTAGCTTCAAATATGATAAGTGAAAATCGAGGATCTGAATTGATGCCATTGGAAGCCAATCCAGATTCTCCGATTACTGCCTATAGGTGACAGGCTGATTATTTAATTACGACTTTTTTTTCCGGGCGTTTTATTTACGATACATTTGCTTCGAATATGTGATTTTTTATTTAGTTATAATTGTTTTGTGAATTATATGCAGATATCATTCGCTATGTGCATACAATGGCGATGATGACATGTTCAGTTCCGATTTTAGTGATGATCAGTTGAAACAGAAACTTGGACACATGTCGAATACACCTACCATGGTAATGTTTTCAAAAATAAATAAATTCCGTAATAACCAAAAAAAAACAATTTTTGATAGTTTATTAAATAACAGGTGATGTTTTCGATGGGTGATGAATACGTACCGGAATATGTGGACAAGAAAGCATTAGTTGAGAGGCAAGAAATTCGAACCTTCACATACACATTGTATATATATTTATTGTGTATATAATTATTGTATCTATTTATCGAATGGTGCATATGTTTGTGTTTGTAGATTGTGTAGGGCAATGGGAGGTGCGGAAAAAGCCGAAATCGAACATGGAAACCACTCTTTATCCAATAGAGTTGTTGAAGCTGTTGAAGCCATAATAGACTTCGTTAAGAGAGACGGGCCGAAAGGATGGGAGGATCCGTGGAGTTAACACGGTGCTCACTTGTACTCTATTATTTCTCTCCATTATTGGTTTATTCGACTTTCGTTTATCGGTTTTTCGGCATATTTAGATAGACGATTTTTTATTTTTTTTATCACCGTTTTTCGTTATCCAAGTGTTGTATTCATTCTTTCGTTTCGTGTATTTCAATCAAAAAGTTGCGAAAATTTAGTGTAGTGTTTTTATTTACATTGGTTAGACGGAGAATACTTCGGGAGGTGCTCGTAATTATACAATCAGTGAGGGGTTTTTTCGTAATTAAACCTTATATCGGGTCCTTGTAATTTGTGGCCACACATTAGTACATGTACCTCTCATCCTATCAACATTATGTAGCCAATATAAATGAAAACACGTGCCCTGTCTCTCCTTCACATGATTTTTGTCCTGCATTTCTAATTTAATAAATAATATATTTCACAATTGAATATTTATTTTTTATTTTTTTCATTTTCACCATTATTAATTTTACTAATTAATTCTCTTTAATCAAAGTATTTGCCTAGTCATCAACATTCTAAAAACATATATTAATTTAAAATTAATATGCTCGTTTGAACTTCTAACTATTTTATCATTTCTCCCCAAATATATTTCTTGTTCATATATAAGTTATAATATAATAAATTTTATATCTAAATTTGAATCAATTAATATAATAAATTCATAATTGGGCCGGTAGGTATTAAACGCCACTCATCTTATTGGTCAAAAAGACGGACAACAGTTTTGACTTTTAGCCTTATTATAATATTTAGGATAAATTGCATTCACCTCTGGAGTAATGTCAAAATACAAAAACACCCCTAATATTTGGTTAATTACAAATACGCTCTCAACTATGAATCTTCAAACATTGTTATCCATGCCCTGTCAAATTTAGTGGAATCTTCTAGATTATGTGGAACATTCTCAAGTTTGTACCTGTTTTACTATTCGAGCTCCACATTTTTCTAAAAGATGATAATAAGATGTGTCTTGACTTGTAAACATCAGATTGTGGTGCATCAAAAACTAATTTTTTGTACAAAACGAATTCAAACTAGATAACATTTCACGAAAACTAAAAAATTATGTCGAATTTGACGCCATAAGGATGGATACGTAAGAAGATTCATAGTTGAGGATGGTGGTTGTAGTTATAAAAATAAGAGGGGTAGTTTTGCAATTTGATCTTAAATTAAAAAAAAAAAAAGAAAAAGACAATACTTTTGACTTTTAGCCTTATTATAATATTGAATTAATATACTAGTAATTTTTCTTGTATTGGGAGATTTGTTCCACCAATTTATCAATGATTGCATGAAAGTTGTCCTTTAAATTAATTTTCTTTTTTAATTACATTTTTTTAGTTGTTTCTCTTAGTAAATATTCGATTCAAATAACTTAGACAGATCTGAATGTACGTTTGACATTGTTATAATAGTTATTATTATCCTCTATATATATATTATAATTATTCATTCAAACTAAAAAATTACATACATCAATAATAATGCATAGATGAATGATTATAAATACTTATAATTAATTAATATATCAAAGTGCGTCGAGAATGGGTCGAGTCACCAATTACCCTGTGATGAAAGTTCGAGAGTCGGTCGAACTATTATCGAACTCCGTACACTTGTACGTATGTTGAATATTAGTAATAATATAGTACTTAAACAATATTCGTTAAATGTTATTACTATATAAAGCATAGTAATAACAAAACACACAAAAAATAGAACTAGGGTTTCAATTTTCTTTTTATCCATGTTAATATGCATGCATATATATATATATATTTTTTTTTTTTTGATAATTCATGCATATATATATATATAGTATCTTCAATGTTGGATTACTTTATGTAAAAAAACACACACAAAGGTAAAGCTTCCACTTTTATCCACGTGGCACCGTGTCCTGCAACAGCCATGCAAGAGTCAAAAGACCAAATTACCCTTCCCCAATCGTCGTGCTCGGCCACAATCCTATTCCCAATTGTCTGTCGGTGGTTTGCTGTAAACCTATGGTCAAATTAGTCTTTTCCTACATAAATTATTAATTAATATATATGTAATAGCATTATAATAATAATAATAATAATAATAATAATATAATATAGTATATCGAGTCCTCTTCCAACACTAATTCAGCTGCAACTGCTGTTTTTCCTATCATTAATAGTATAGAACTCCATGTTTTCAACTACAAACAACCCAACCTACAAGACTTATTAATATATCTATTTAGAGAGAGAAAGAGGAGAGAGAGAGAGAGATTTGTGGCCGGTGGATGAAGGAATTCTTGTGACAACTTGTGTTCTGTGCCAAACAGTAAGTTTTGTATACTAAAACTTTGTTTTATCTCTCCAAGAAAAACATAAACATTATTCAAATATCTTGCTGGGAATGTTGTTTTCTTAGAGAAAAATTCCCTTTTTTTCTCACTTTATTACAAAGAATATATTTTTTTAATTTTAATTTCTTGGATAATAATTAATCTATAAGCTGCAGCTCAGATGCCGGAGAAAGCAGCAAACTTTGCATGGTCAAACCCCAGAGTTCATCAATGGTTCAAGATTCTTACAATAGCTGTGTTTCTTGGAATCTTGATTCTCTGTGGTAGTGATGGTTTGAGTTTCCACACAGATTTCCCTTTGTCTGAATTTACAATCTTGCCACAAGTACAACAACCCAGCTCTCAAGATTTGAACTTTGGCAACATTTCTGCTCAATTCCAGATCAAGAATTCAAACCACACCCACCAAAATTCATCCAAAACCCACCAAAATCCAAGCCCTAATTTTAGCCCTAACCCACTCAATTTGTCCAAAACCCCGAAAAAAGAAAATCCCAGGTTTAATCTTTCTTGGGTTTCACCTGAGTTGGAGGTAAACTATTCATCCAATCTTCTTACAAAGTGGCTAACTCCAGGTGGTGTTCCTTGTAAAGATTCAAGAACTGTTGATATAAAAATCCAATCTTTAGATAGTGATAGTGACAGCACAATCGAATTATCCGCCGGTGAAGTTCACGAGTTTGTTTTTCAGGCAATAGATGGTTCAGGGGAGCCACATTGTCTAGGTGGGGATTATTTCGAAACTGATCTTTCCGGCGGAAATTGGAAATCGAGGCCTCCGATTAAAGACTTCGGAAACGGGACGTACGTGGTCTCTCTCCAAATCCACCCCGATTTCGCCGGAAATTACAATTTCACCATCATCCTATTGTACCGCCACTTCGAAGGGCTCAAATTCTCGCCCGCAAGATTCGTCTTTGATAAAGTCCTCCGTGTAATCCCGATCAAGTTCGTCAACTCAAATTCAAACTCCCACTTGCCCGAAGTGGAACAATGCAAGAAGTTCGATTTCACTAAGGATGTTTGGTCCGGAAGATGGACACGTCACGCAAGAAACGAGAACTGCCGCATCAGCAACGACGGGCGATACAGATGTCAAAAACCGAGCTTTCCTTGTGTGCATCCATGGTGCAGTGGTCCATTAGGGTTACTAGAGAGTAACGGGTGGGTATATTCCACCCATTGCTCGTTCAAATTGTACTCGAGCGAAGAAGCATGGAATTCTTTAAACAACCGTTGGATTTTTTGGTGGGGAGATTCGAATCATTGTGACACGATTCGAAACATCCTCCACTTCGTTTTGGACGTGCAGAGTATTCCTATAGTTCCGAGAATATTCGATATGAATATCACAAATCCGAAAAACCCATCTCAGAAAGTCCGATTCACCAGCATTTTCAACGGTCATTCGAACCATACGGGAAATTATCAAGGCTTGGATTCCTTATCCAATCCAAACTACAGAGAGCTATTGAAGAGCTACTTTACGGACACCAATGTCGTACCCGATACTATGATTATGAACTCGGGTTTGCATGATGGGGTCCACTGGCCGAATATCCGACAGTTCATTAAAGGGGCGGACTTTGCAGCTTCGTTTTGGGGAGATGTAATGAAAGGGGTGAGGGAGAGGGGGTTTTCACCCCCGGTGGTTATATACCGTACAACTGTGGCAACGGGTGGGTATGCTCGTTCGATGGCGTTTAATCCACAAAAGATGGAGGTTTTTAACGGGGTGTTGTTGGATAAGATGAAGGAGTATCGAGTTCTTGATCGAGTTGTGGATGATTTCGATATGACTTATCCATGGCATTACGATAATCGGTGTAATGACGGAGTCCACTATGGGCGGGCCCCTTTGAAGGCGAAGTGGAGGGATGGGCAAATCGGGCATCAATATTTCGTTGATCTTATGTTAGGTCATGTGTTGATTAGCGCTATGAGCCCGTGATCGGATTCGAGGTAACGTGATTGGATCGAAATTTTTGAATGATTAGAAGATGGCCAATGTTTTTTTTTTTTTTGAGAGATACTATATATAGTTAGGGGGTGATGGATGTATTATTTAACATGCATATATTGTATGCATTATTTTTTATTTATTTTTTGCAGCTTAATGCTGTAGTTTATATGGAGTTTTGGTTTTTGATTTTGTTTGAATCACATTTTACAGCAATATATAATCATATAAACTTTATTTTGATCTATTTTCATTTTCGAAAATACATGTATTGCAATATAATATAAACTTTATTATGTAAGTTTCTATGTTATAAATTGAATAACAATTTATGTTTTTTTTTTATTCGAATTCTGCCGATTTCACCTAAAAATTCCATTTTTTTTTCAAAATTTTCAATTCCGATTTCCGAAACTCCAATTCTAATTTCTTTTGTGCAGTACAAATTTGAATTATTACTTTCGAAAATAAGTTAAAATATAAAAAACAACCACTAAAATTAAATTTTCTGAAAGTTGTAATTTCAATCTAATCCTATTTTCAGTTCAGATGAAAACAAAATTAAACAATTAAAAATTAAAATTAAAATTAAAATTAAAATTTAAAAAGCAAAAGGTGACGTCACGAGTTAAGGGTAGTGATGACCTTTCAACGGCCAGGATATCTTTGTGGCACCTGAACAAAAAAAAAATCAAAATCGCGGCAGAAAATTGGGAAAACACAAAAAGCAAGAATTTTTTATACGAACCCCAATTTCAAAAAAAAAAAATCCTATTCGCAACAATAGAAACGCCGATCTTCCAAAACAAATTGGCTAAAAGATCGAACTTTCTGTAATTTTCTGAAAAGGGTTTTTTTCATTGGGCGGTGAAATTTTTTGTTCCTTTCTCCGATTGTTCAATTAAATCCAGCGAATTTTACGGCCCAGGTTTTAATTGAAGCTTACGGTGAAGAAGAAGAAGAAGAAGAAGAGGAGGGGGGTGGCGCAAAA